ACAGGCCAAATAAATGATTGAGAGCTGGAACAGTTCCTCTATGAAAAAAGGTAACCATGTTTTGAGCTGTGAAGTCGTAAGCTTTCATGGCCAGCATCCATAGTTTTTTGTGTTTTTTTCGGGCTGTGTGGCCATGTTCTAGAAAAGTTTCTTTCTGACGTTTCGCCAGCCACAGATGCTGGCGAAATGTCAGAAAGAAACTCTTCTAGAACATGGCCACACAGCCTGAAAAAACCACAAAAACTATGTTTTGAGCTGTTTAGCCTGAAAAACGGTACATAGGAAGAGACAAAATACAGTTATAAAATGCTATGCATCATGTGGAAAAAATAGATGGGGAATGGAGGGAAAATTCCCCCTCTGCTTTCTCCACCATTCATAAATTTATATACCTTTATTATATCTTCCTTTACAGTCAGAATATTAGAATTAGGGGGAGAGGGTCATCCACTCATTGAATGATAGGTGATTCTGAAGAATTAACAGAAAATACTTCTTCATAGAGCCCACAATTAAACTCACTTGCAGTTCACTGCCACAAGATGTAGTGATGGCTGCCAGCATTGTTTAAGTGCATGGAGGATGGGGCTGTCATTGGCTACTAATCAGGATGGATGGATGTTACTTCTACTGTATCATCTCCAGGTTGCTACTGCTGGTCCTGCTGGTGGGCTTCCCATAACCAACTGGTTGGGTATTTTGTGAACGGGATACTGTACTAAACAGACCTTTGATTTGATCCAACAGAGGACCTTTTTTGTTCTTAAGAACAGGATCTTAGCCCATGCAGTTATGCCATGAAATATGTGTGCTGAAGGGGTAAGGATAGAGCTAGAATCTTTTCTTCCACACCCACAGCACAACAAGATTGCTTGTCCAGTGGATGTATAAATCAGAGGAAGCTTAATCCTGTAAGTACTGCTGAGGATGGATCATGCTCTCAAGGATCAACTCACCAGGAGAAATGAGTGACTTCAAATAAAGCATAAAGATGGGTGAACTCCAGCACCACTTGATTTGTGATATCATCCCAGTTCTGAGCATTCCAGTCCCCGTGCAACAGATGGACTCTGGAACGATCCAGGGTTAGACCTGAGAACAAATGAGAAGATGCTGTTATCTGCCAACTTTGAGGATGAACTCTTTTCAGTTCGTAATTGCATCAGGGTGGGGTGAGGTTTTGTTCCCAGTATATTATTAATAGGATATGTGAAATTCAGGAAAGAAGGGGGTAGTTTGACCAAATGTAAACACCATGATTACTCTGCAGGTCAAAGCTATACTGCACCTACTTGTGCAATGCTCAGTCTTAAGGACTTAACTCAAATCCCCTCCCAAGATCACATGATTACTCAAATATGCATTTGTACTTATGACTCAAACATGCATTTAACTGTACTGATGTGTTGTCCATTTAATTGTTCTGTGAAATTCAGATGCCACATCTCACGAAATATTCCCATCACACCATTTTTCTGTTTGTTCAGCTCCCTAAAACAAACTGACCTGTGATCCCTGGTGGCAATGGGAGCTGAATTTTAACTGGTTGGAGGAAGTCCACTGTGGAATTCTGGGAAAGGAAGAGGAGGGGGCTAGCGACAGTTTCAGGGTCTTCTGTGATCTCTTGGAGCTCTTCTGCTGATACAGGCAACACCTGATTATAAAGAAAAGTTGAGGGAGAAGGGTTGTCTCTCCTTCCCACAGCAGCCATCTATCCCTTGCAAAGCTGACCCTGAGTGGCAAATGACCCATTAAAGGAAACTGACATAATGAACTAAGTATAATACCTCATTTTCTTAATGGTTGAATAACTCCGGAGCAGCAACCAAATGCTGTTCCCAACTGAAATGTCAGATGTGAAATTCTACTTGTGGAGAACTGCTGAAGAGGATCAGGCCCAGCAATTACTCTTTATCTCATACTCTTAAAACAGAGTTATGTGCTGGAACAGGTGGAACAGCATTAATTAACATTTACAAGCTGATGCTGTGGGCTCACTAGGGCAAGGACTTTGAGTCATGACTCTACATGTCAAAGAGCAGATCAGGACATTTTTTCAGGACATGTCTTTTGACTTTACAACTTTAAAGCACACATGACCAAAACTGACCTGAACAGACTTATCCTGTATCTCTAGCCTTCCAGCCTAAGAAAATTATTTTGTCAGCCTATTGGGTTTCTGGATGCTGTTTTCTTTTTCATTACAGCTCTCATACCTGGAGCTTCACTGTCCTAGTCTCCTCAGTCACGCCAGGAGGGAAGGTCACTTTGATGTTGGGATCCACAGTTGAGAAAAGCAGGGCTCCCTCCTGAGGGACTCTGCATTCATTCTCCACAAGGCGAGAGACAACCACAAACCAGGAGAAGTGAGGAACACTGCAGCAGGCCAAACGCTTCTGTTAAAGGGTGTGGGAGAGCGAACAGACCCTTTCTAAGTTATGACAACACTTTAAGCATACAAAGGAAACCAGATTTTTATTGACTGATTGATTGATTTTTGGCACCGTCAATGAGAGGACCTCTTAACAAGGACAGCATGCCAACACTGAGTTACAAGAATAGGCTCCAGCAAACTCATGCTCTCTAGATTGGTTGGATGGACCATAACATCAGCATCTCCAGGCAACAATCATCTCTGTCCTGCCTCTCTTTAGTCCCCACTTTTCCTCTAAGCTGAACATCAACATATGTCATAACCTTTCCACAGAGAGGAGTTGCACTGGTCCTTTGATTATTTTGGTGGCCTTTTTATGCACCTTTTCCAGTTCTACAACATCATTTCTGAAGTGTAGTGATCAAAACTAGAGGCTGCAAAAATTACTTTTTTGAATTCCAAGAATCTACCAGCCAGTGTGGCCACAATCTCCCCTCACAAAAAAGCCCACAACCTATTCCAAGTGTGACTAATTGGCAGTGATTTTTAGTTATTTTCCTAGTAATCGCCAACCTGGAATTTTTTTCCTACAGAAACCAAGCACAACTGATACAATGCTTCTAGGGCTTACCTTCCCTTTATGCTTCACTTTAGTTTTTAGTTCACTCCACTTTTCTCCACTGAAGGTTCGAATTATGATCTCACGGTCATTCAGGCTCTGAGGGGAAGCATAGGGCATCCAGATCTGCACTTCCTAGAATGTGAAACAGAACAGATGGTTTACACAAGTTAACCAGTGAGTAAAAAAATCCTACCATTATTCTGTAGTATATGGAGCAAGAGAAAGATCTCAAAGCCACACTGTCATAGAAGTCTTGGAGAGTAAACCAACATTGTTCACTGTGCTTATTTTCCATTGTACCTTCTCAGAGGCATCAGAAAAGTCATGATGAAAAAAGGAGGGCAATCACATGGTAGCTTGCACCAACAACAGCAAGTGAAGTAAAAGAGCTAAGGAGTCTCACAGACATGGTAGAACAGAGATGGGGGACCTTTGGCCTTCCTTGTGTATTGGACTTCAATTACCAGAAGCTCTAGTCAGCATGGGCAATGAAAAGCAATATGGGAATTGCAGCCCAATCCACCTGGAGGATCAAACTTGTGCTAGAGGTTAGAGGTGGATTTATCCCATAGTTGAAAGCAGGTCTGAATATACAATTACACATTTTGTGCTGATCGTCTAATGGGCCATTTGAGATATAGCAATGGTCATACAGTGTACCCAGAATCAACCATCCTGGAAGGCCGTTGTTGGCTTTCATAAGATCAAGAGATTAATGGTGTGTGTGCTTTCAAAGATGGTGACATTTTATTTTGCTCATTCCATAATCTATTTTGTTACTCACGTCAGCCTAAAGGAGGGGTATACATTTAAATAAATGAATAACATGTAATGGTCCAGTGTAATTTTTGGAGCTATTTATTATTGTCTAATATTCTTACTGATTATACTGGCAAATGGGAATCCACTTCCTTTTTCTCACAACCAGCCTGTATGTATGTGAAAAAGAAATAAGTATTCTACACATGCTCAAGCATTCTGATCCTCCAGCATTCTGCACGTGCTCAAGAACAGTGCTCTGCTTCTCAACCCCAGCATTATAAATAGGTCTGGAACTATGACTCTTGATAAAACTTACATCAAATTAAACCAAACCTCAGTTTTGACATAGCAAATGGTTATTTTCAAAGCAACCCAGCCAGTCTCATGTCTCCCACAAAAGCAGTAACTCCCCCACCTTTGGATTGCCAGTATAATTTTCTCCCCGTATTAGCATTCAAGTTGCAAAACCTCTGGGAGTCAGTACAGTTCTAGTTTGAACCCTTTTCCAATTTCATGAGCTCCTACCTTCTGGAAGTGAATCCCATGAGGTTGCAGTTCCAGGACTTTGCTCAGCAGGATATCATGGTGCTTTAGCTTCACGCACTGAGGATCAGGAAAGCATTTTTGGAACTGGATAGTTACCGAAGTAGTGGTGGCACCCTGGGGGAATGAAAGCTGGGTGCCACAAGTCAGGGAAACTCTGCAGCCATCAGGGGTCACTGTAAAGCTTAGAAGAAACAAAGAGAAGCAGCAGTGCTTTTGTAACACCACAACCCTATTTTTTCCAAAGTTCTTACTTGAGTTTGAAGACTTGAAAAATAAAAAAAGAGTCAGAATTCTAGATCCAGTCATTCAGTTTTCTCCAAAGGTACTAATTCAAAAGTTGATAGGATTCTAGCTACCACACAACCCAGCCCCACTTCTCAAGTAATCCCAGCTTTGGTAACTCTCTTATATGGATTCTCAACACAGGGATAGATAATACAATCTGGGGTAACTAACTAAAACTAGGTTCATCCTTGCCATTTACACCTTTCTGTTTTTCTTTTCTTGTAGGCTCCAGGTTTGAAGGCTGCCCCTAGCACAATGTCATCTGCTGCCCTTCTCCACCTTACCTGGTAGACTACGGATAGGGAGCAGCACCAGTCAGAGTGTGAACATGTTAATTTTTTGGCTATAGCTCTCAGAATCCTGTGGCCATGCTGGTTGAAGTTTCTGGAAGCTGGAGTCAGTGACAAGAGAGCCAGTATGGCTTAGTATTTGAGTGTTGGACTACAACTCTGGAGACCAGGGTTCGAATCCCCCATTTGGCCATGGAAACCTAATGGGTGATCTTGGGCAAGTCATACTCTCTCAGTTTCAGAGGATGGCCATGACAAACACCCTCTGAAGAAACCTTGCCAAGAGAACCGCATGATAGATTCACCACCTTAGGGTCACCATGAGTCAGAAATGACTTGAAGGCACACAACAACACCATTCAGTGACAGTTGTTGTGACTTTATTCTGGGTTATAGTCTGAAGTTTAAAGGAGCTTTTCAGGGTGTTGAATTCTATGCTCAAAATAAGTTCAGCACTTTGGATAGCTCCTTTAAATTTAGACTCAGACTTAATGAATTTACTGTCCTATTGCCTTGAAAGCCTCCAACCATCACAGGCTGAAACATGAAAAGGTAACATTGACAGACAGTAGCACTGGTGTTCCAAGGCCTACAGCAGCAATAATGATGCTCCAGGTATGGCAGAGACCTTGGTGGGAGCAGTCTACCTGCTACAGAAACTGACTGTCAAGCCAGAGCATCAATGCTCTGAGCACCTTTGGTGATTGTTGCTGCACTCCAAAGCCAGGAATTATTCTATAGGGAAGCCATAGTGCCTATGCTGGGCCCAACCATGCAGGTGGGACCCCACCAGCTACCTAAGGGTGCCAGCTTATGGTACCAGACTGACTATCTCACATGAACTTTGCCCTTGAAACCGCAGCACCATTTTCTCTTTTGAAATCAAGCTTGGCTTGTTTGTAATATCATGGGGATGATTATCTCAGTATATCCACTGAGGATGCCACCTCCTAATACATAATTGCTTAAAGTAGTAGTACAGGTACAATGTTGCTTTTATACAATCGGCAAGTCAGCAGGACACGTTGGCATGCTCAGTAAAACAGAGAAGGATATTGGCTAAAAGAACTATGTGAAATACCTATCCTCACCATCTTCAAGAAACCGTCTTTGCAGTTCTTCCGAGGTCGAGTTTTCTACAACAGTTGAGGAAAGAAAGTCTATTAGTTCATATCAATATACCTAAAAAGCCGTTCCTGCTTCTTTATATGCCTTAGTCTTGTAGGGCAGGCTGGGCCCAAGGTAACATTTAATCTATGGTGGAATTATCAATCTAGTCTAGTCCCCTACAATATCCACCAACGTTTTGTAATAAACCATATGATAATTTTAATAATAATAATAATAATAATAATAATAATAATAGCACCAGCACCAGCACACCTATCTACCAGTGATTTTTAGTTTATAATAATGATGGTGAATACACAAAGCAAATGGATCCATTTCCTTCAACACAACTTGAGCTTGAGAAATGAACTTTATTGAACTAAAAGCTCAGTATCCTCCAATAAGCATGACCAGTGGCCTTGTTGGCTATGTGACCCTGGGAACTGTAGTCCAAACCCCAATGTTTTAGATTAAGGGAGAAATATGCGGAAAGTCTTTAAACAGGCTGCATTTATAGAAGTATCTGTTTTGGATTTAAAGCATGTCTACGTTTCACAGCAGCTTTCTCTTATTCTTACCTATAGGCCTTTGCTTTCAGCAGTGTTTACTTTAAGGTGAACCTGAACCTGAGTCTTCTGAAATACAGATTTCATACAGGGACTTTTCATTATTGGCCTCCTCATTGTGGAATACTATCCCTAGAGACTCCTACTCAGACTTACTTTTTAATTAGCACAAAGAAAAGACCTTCTCATTTTCCTAAGCCTTTTATAATAGTTTAGTTCAGTCTTTTTTAAAAGTGTAATCTCTGCTGCATGCTGTGGTTTTAGCATGGCTAAATTATTGTTTGGCTTGCTGTATTAAATTGATTATTGCTGCAATATTTTTAATGCCAATCGCTCTCTTTGAAATTATTGTTTTAATTTTTCTGCTTTATTGATTTCCTGTTTTTACTGGAGCAGTGATTTTTAAATCCATTTTATCTTGTATAATCCTTAGAGAAGTATTGTAACTGAGTGACCGGTAAATGGAATAATTTTTTAAAAAACCCAACATTCATCAGTGATTTTTCCATTCCCTCCTTTATAATGTACTCTTTAGAAAGAAAAGAGTTTGAAAACGTTACTTTTTGGACTACATTTCTCCCCAGAAATAGCTACTGCCCATGTTGACTTGGGAATTCTGGGAGATATAGTCCAAAATGATAACACTTCTAAGCTATGTATGATCAGCTTATGTACTTTCATAGGACAAAACAGAACCTCATCCCCTGCAAGCCAAACATTAGATCACTCAGCAATTTCTGACTCTCATTAGAGATGAAAAACAGTTGTTCAACAGACAGAACAAGCAGAATAAAAGCAATTACCTGGTTGCAGAGGCACCTCGGGTTCCCCTAGTGGGTTACCCCGGAGATGCACAAAGGGCAAGCTCTGGATCTCTTGAGGGATGGTACGCAGCCTATTATTCTGCAGATCAAGCCTGGACAAGTTGGGAAGGTGGGCAAGGGACGCAGGAACTGTCACCAGGAGATTGCTGTGAAGATGCAGCTGCCGTAGAGAGTGCAAATTGGCTGCAAGTCAGAACAGGATTAAAACAAAAAAGAGAGAGATCAGCTTTTCCTTGGGTAGAGTGTGTGTAACACACATACATAAATTTACCTCTTATACATTCACAAGTATCAAATCTTTTTTTAAAAAGGAATAGTGCTTTAATGATCTGTGGTCGTCAATCATACACAAAAGCAATATGCGATGCTTTACACATTACATTCATGCTGTATTTTGCTTAGTTTGACTTCTACAGTTAATCACTCTGAATGCCATTTTTTTTTACAGAAAGGTGTGATAATAATAAATATGTATCACCTATACTTACTGCAGAGAAGTGCTTATACTATCCAAAGGAAATGTGTATGAGGAACAGCAATTAATCAACCAAGGGGGAAATCAGACTTAATCTTCCTTTTTATTTAGGATCATAACTAATATTGGCAATGTAATCCATCATCCTCTCCCCCCACCCTCAAAAAAGCATTTTCCTTTAGCCTTTGCAACTTTATATTCCACAGACAAAATGCTTAATTTTGGCTGCATTAAGTTCCAACAGCTGCAGAGTATATTTTGCCATATAAATTGGCTTATTCACAGGCACTATGCATGGACATTATATAGAAACTCTGAAGTACCGTGCACAACAGATCAAAAGAGGTCCAGTACTTATAAGTGGTATCACTGTTTATTGTCTTTACAAGGAAAATGCAGCAGGACTGCATGGAAACACAGTTGGTGGACATAAGACACCAGTCATAAGGTGTGATGAACATATCATGGGTGTGGTTAGCTTACCTGACCATTTAAAACCCTAAGGGAAGGAGGAAACACTAGAAAAAACTGAAATTTACCCACTATTCTTGCCATTCCATTAGTAGGTCACTAGGTTGTCTCTGTTAAGCTTTAAGAAAGGGAGGCCTTGGTTTAGAATCCCTCTTTGAATATTGGTTGTTTTCTACTTCAGTAATTTTGGAAGGGGATAAACAGAGAGAAGCATAATGAAACTGCGAATGAAACAAAGGTCCAGAACACACTGCAGAAATAATCCAGTTTGAGACCACTTTATCTTCCTTGGCTCAGTGCTAGGGAATCCTGGGAATCATAGTTTATTGTGGCACCAGAGTTCTGACAGACAAGGTTAAACGTCTCACAAAACTACAGTTCCCAGAATGCCCTAGCATAGAGCCAGGGCAATTAAAGTAGTCTCAAACTGGATTATTTCTGCAGTGTGTTTTTGACCAAAGTTAATATAATTTAGTAGATGGATGACCTACCCATACTTTAGACAAGATAGACACAGGAAGCTGGATGCTGGCATCCTTCCTATTATGTTATCTATTCCTCATGAGACAATCCATCCTCAGCTTTTATTTATACAGGTAGAGACAAGCAGCCTCTGCCTTTCCATTGATCCTACCCTGATATGTACAAGCAGAGAAAAATACTGCACTTTCTTTGTATGCTGTCCCTTTCAGAGCTTGGAAACATTACTTTTTTGGACTACAACACCCCAAATCCCTTTGCCAGGAAGGCCACCAGCCATCTTGTCTAAGGGGCTCTGTTGTCCAGAAAAGTCATGTTTCCAAGCTCTGTTCATTATTTGAAAGCACTTCAGAACTGCAGCAACACTGTCCATCCCTCCATTTAACATGCTGTGGGAAGAACTCCCAGCTCTTGGGCCACAGATAAAGTGAGGAACAACTTGTAGAGGATGCTGGTCAGTGGCACATACAGGTTTGTCTTGTACCCACATTCACTCACAGGCATTTTCAGATGTTGGTTCAAAACAGTGCTGACCACCTAAGGCCTGTTTGTATATGCTACTCTAGTAGTAGGGCCCTTTTATGGTGACCACTAGAACACATAGGCACCAGCACTGCACCATTGGCTTTTTAAGTAGGGTCATGCAAACCATTCTTTTTAGGTAGGGCTGTGGTTAAAGACAGTTTTAAACACTAGATCAGTGCTACTAAAATGTGTTGGTCCATGGACCATTGTCAGTCCATGAGCCATCCACTGCTGGTCTACAGCAAGTTTCCAAGGAGGCAAGAAACAGTTGTAGCCAATGGGCACAAATATGATGCCAGTCCCTGGCACACTGTGAGAAAGAGCCACCAGTCCCCCCATCTACTTTAACATGCACTGGACCCAAACTTCTTTTGTGTCAACTGTGATGTGAATATTCTGAGTCTTAAAATGTTCGTAATACAAGGACCCATTTTTTAAATTGGTATTTTAAAACGTTGAAAACATCTGTTGTTAAGTTATAAAGTTCAAATTAATAAACAAATGTCATGCTGCGTAAGTAAACCTATGTGAATTCAGCAAGACTTACTTCCAGGAAAAACTACGAAGAATTGCAGCTGCACAGCACAATCTTAACCATGGGTTCAAGACTGCAGCTTTTTTTTTTTTTAATTGGAAGTCACAACAATAGACAAAGGAAA